AATGTAAACAACATTTTCCAATAAAAATTGCTCCTACTTAAGGATAAGTTGTTTACGTGATAATTGCTAATTGACTTTCATAAGGGCATCCATAATAGATTACACTTTATTAAATTTAATTTATATGTCGCATCATAAGTTTATTATCCCCTTTTTCATTATATTCTCTCTCACTACAAATTATACTTTACAAAGTATAATAGTATGGATTCACAATTAAATCACATATTTATTTTAATAATTCACAATATATCTCCCGTAAAATTTAAAACTTCTAATATTGTCAAATGGGGCCTATAACCGGTCTCTTGCATTTTTGCATGTCTATTGCCGCACCCCATTTTTAAAAATAAAGTAAAAGAGAAATGACGTTAGAAAATGGTGTTAAAAAAATGAGTTTTTGATTTTTAGAAAATAAAGAAAGAAAAAAGGCCTAAAATGGGACATATAAAGTGCGACGGTTTGGATCCAAAATTTTAGTTTAAAAAGGGTTTTTAAGGAAAATAGGAGTCTTTACTTAGTATTGAGTTTAGGTGTATCAAATCACCCATAATGTTTAAAAATGAAAAGAAATAAATAAAACCCTTTTAAACGATTCTGGGTTTTTGAAAATAAGAGAAAAGAGTTCGAGAGTCACATTTGAAAAAAGGGAAGGCAAAGATTTGATCTAAGACACCCTTTCAATCGTGATGTTCAAGAATGATTCTTTGAAGAGGCTACGAAAAAGCGAAATATGAGACTAAAAAAAGAAATTATAATATATAGATAAATATACGTGACCTAAAAGAGAGGAATGCAACATAACGGCTACGGGAAGATTAGCCATACTCGTTCTTCTAATTCGTGATTCAATTTGCCTTCTTATAGAAGGGATAAGAGCGTGTTAAGGGTAAGAAACCATACTCGTTCATTTCTCATATTTGAAGGGTGACTCTCGTAACCTAACCAAGCAATTGGATTAACCAATTTCTAATTTTCTAAATTGAAATGCAATTCTAAATGATAAGGTCCAAACATATAGAGGGTAAGGGAATAATAGTAGGGAAGATATCATGCAAATAAAAATAACCCAAAAATAGAAAAAATGCATGAAATACAATAAATGTCACACAAGGTATGAATCTAGCACGAAAACGGTCTAAAGAGTCTAGCATTGAACTAATCCATTTCTACAAGTTCTTACTAGCATTAGACTAGTGAAAAATAGGGGGAAAAGCACGAAAACGGTCTAAAGGGTCTAACATTGAACTAATCCATTTCTACAAGTTCTTATTAGCATTAAACTAGTGAGAAATAGGGGGAAAAGATTGCAAATAATATTGGACTATTTTGGTGACGTCATATATTTATTATAAATAAATAAAACATATAAAGCATAATTAAAACAAATAAACACATAAAGTACATAGAGCACATAACACATAGACATAATATCTAGATGCAAAACTTTAGAGAAAGCGGATAAACACATAAGCACACAAGCAGATAAACATGCAAGCAAATAAAAACTAACTATTACATTGAAGGTCCTAACTACAATCTAGAAGGGAAATTTTTGGAAATAATAAACCTATCCATTACATTTATCTAACTAATTATAATTTTGGCAAAAATAAAATCTATCTATTACATGATCTAATTAAATACATTTCTTGAGCACCTATTTATTACAAATTGTCATTTAAATACCTCCCAAATAGGCCTGTCAATGGGTCGGGTCCGGGCCGGAATTCATTACTCCAGATTCGGACCTGGCACACTATATCGGATCCGGATTCGACCCGTTTACTTGACGGGTCTTTTACTCTAGTTCGGAATCCGGATTCGGGTCTATCCGAAAAAAAACTAACAAAATTTATAATTCCTAACAAAAATGAGAAAAAAATATATATTTATAAACTAATTTCTAACTAATACAAAAAAAATCAAATAAGAAAAGAAATCAAATTAACCTTACTCAAATACATCACCCTAATCAAATTATATTGATTAGGATCCGGGTCCAATTATATTGATTACTCAAATATATCATCATAATCAAATTATATTAATAAAAATATATATTTTAAATTATTAATCCATTTATATCCGGATCCGGGTCCAATACGGGCCGGAATACTATATTCCGTATCCGACCCGTTTTTTTGTTTGACAAAATGGATCCGGATCTGGATCCGGGTAACGGAATTAAATCCCTACCCATACCTGGATAACTTTGACGGATTCGGTCCGGGTCCGAGTCTAGACCCGGACCGTTAACAGCCCTACTCCCAAATAATCATAAAAAATTAAATAAAACAATTTAAAACTTAAAATGAATAAAATGAGGGAATAAAAGAGAAAACACTTAAAACATGGAATCACACATAAAAAAAAACACATAGGAGTACATAAAAGAACTTAAAGTAATAATAGAAGGTACTTCCCTTGAAATAGTGGTTAAATGAGGTGGAATTTGTCCTATTTATACACCAAAATCAACAAAATAGTCAAGGCACCAATTTAATTAACAATTTAAAAGAAAATGTAAACATATAGCAAATTCACTTTATTATTATAAAGAAATATGAATAAATATAAAATCCCTAGAAGTTACTAATTAAATGCATTTAAATGAAGCATGATGAACAATTAAAGAAGATAAACAATCATACTTAAGAAATTAAAACTATTAGGGACCCAATTATAAAAATTTAGAAAGTTTTTAGGGTTAATTTGCAATTATTGAAAAAATTAGGTGTTAAAATTGAATAAAAGATAAAGTTTAAGGAACAAAATGCAATTAAATTAAGGACTTAATTGAAAGAAATAAAAAATTTTTAGGGCTGGAATGAATTTCGCAGACGATCAGGGGCTTAATTGCAAATTCTGTTTTCTGATTTTTCAAGGCTAGAAGGCCTTTGAGTCATCTTGTTTCTTTTTCTGGGCTGTAACTTCTTAGGCCCAAAGAAAACTCACAGAAAGGATGGGCTAGTCCATTTATTTTTTTAAAATAGGGCCCATAAAAAACTTTGGACTTTAATTCCAAAGTCCATGTCCTAACCCAAAGAAAATAAAAGCAAATCCATTTACCAAAACCCAAAAAATAACCTTAGCCCATTTCTTAAATTATTTTCCTAAATCCCCAAAAGAAAAAAGGAAAATATTTAACTAGGTAATTTCTATCCAACAAAATCATTTAAGCATTAATTATATCCTAAATCAAGAAATAAATCACTCAAAGCATACATAAAATATACAAAAGAAGATCAAGGCTTGAAAAGGGAAGACTTGATTCATTTTTCACAAACTTTTGGGCTGTAGTGTAATTATGCAAAAGTCGAGGGGGCAAAATTGAAATTTCCTAATTCTTCCATGCAAGCTCCTCGAAGCTTTCTGCAATTTTGGAAGCTTATCAAGCCCAAAAATCGTACCAAAATAATTTCCAAATTTCGGATCTAAATACATAAGGTTATGCAACCTCAAATATTGACACAAGATCTTATCACTGAAACAAAAGATTCAACGGAAGATAAAACAAATTGGCTGCAACAAGAAAGAGAAAATAGCAGAGAAAAGAAACCAAACGATGTGCAGCAATTTTTCAACCAATTTGGTACGGATCTAAGCATCTACGAAAGAAAAGGAATGAACTAGGGCACCTCTGATGCTTTGTGGAGTCAAATAAGTGCGGTAAATCTCAAGTAGAACGGATCCAAGAGCTGAAACTTTCTTCGAAGAATGTTCAAGAATTGTGACTGCAGCAAGTTCAAGCCTCAATTCGAAGGGGTTGCAGAGTTTTTTTTTTTCCAAAATTTTCTAAATGAAACTTCTTCTACTAAGATCCTAGATTACCCAGAAATCAAGATCTCCCCCAACGGAGCTGTATCAAAAGCAAAAATCGAGCTCTAAGACCACGGGTCAGCCAGATTGTTTTTTTCGAAAAATTTTTGCAAAACCTTTTTTTTTTTTCTCTCTCTCTTTCTTTCTCTTTTGTCACACCTCAGATTCTCGTGCAGTCGACTTTTCTTGCCTCCTTCTTGCCTCCTTCTTGCCCTAAAGCTACGTCTTTTACTATTTAAAAGAAATGAGAACCACAAAACCCTCACCTCAATGGTGAGGATAAAAGCTGGTTTTTTGTTGGCTATTTTGGGCCATCTAATGGCTTTTCTTTCGGAATTTTCTTGATAAATCTTTGCAGGGTGAGGCGGCCTTTGTACTGACCAGACTTGGGGAAAAAGCCAAGAAAAAAAAAAGCAAATTTGATGCCTCCAAATTACAGCTCTCCTTCGTACCTGTTTTTGGTATGAACTAGGAGGTGGTTTCCGCACTATGCGTGGTGGATCAATGCAATTATGCCGTAACTTGTATTGGTTATTTAGAGCTGGCGTGATGTTAGAGTAAGAAGAAGCATGTAAACTATATAGGCTGCTAAGTTTAGATTAATATAAATATGGAATGATTAAGATGAGAGTTGGGTGTGGAAGTGAAATAGGCTGAAATCATACATTGAAAATTAAAAGTAAGAAAGGGATAAATGTAGGAGAGTGGTGTACATGATAGCTGAAAATGTTAGAATGGTCCAAGCATTAAAAGTTATAAATGGAAAAGCAGTAGAAATGGCTTTTCAGTTGTTGATGTTGCTTCCATTTATATCTAAAGTTTGATCCATAAAGTAGAAAGTGATTATAAATTGCATATGAAATGGTGGATAATGGTAAAATATATTGTCGAAATTTTTTGGTTTTGAAACGCATGCTACCATATTCCAATGTAAAATTTTTTGGTAAAATAAAAGACAGCTATATATGAAGGAGGTGAACTACTGCTAAGATGGATAACAAGGTAAATGTTCATTAAAAGGAAATTGTTATTGGATGTAAAGTTCAATTTGTAATTGATTTTTACCTTTTTTTAGTATTTTTATTTATCAAATCATGTTTATTGATTAACCACAGAAAATAAAGGAAATTCATTATTAATAAATAAGGATAACATAGTTTATGAATAATGTTACAGATACAAAAAGTTAATGAGTAACTATAATAATAAATTGGCTAATTATAATAATGCATATGAAATACAGGGTACCAAGGGAAAATTTTTTCATCCCCATTGCTATCAAATATTAAAACAGTAAAGATAGTCCTTGATTCTGGGATGAAAACAAGGACGTCATTGTGCTGGAGTTGATGTTGGAGAACGAAAGCTTTCCAATTTTTTTTGAGCCGCTTCCCTTTCATCCCAATTTCTGATATGTTATCTCCAGTTCTGAGAGCTATAAGTGGAGTTTTTTGTTCATTGAGAAAGTAGTCAACAAATCGTGGGATTTTCTGATACAAAAAGTAAAAGTTAGGGAGCTGGGTTGAAGGAAATGAGTTAGCTAGGGAATAATTTTAAGGAAAATATGATAAGGATTCTTTACCAATGTATACGGGTCATCTGAGTGAAAGTTTTGATAAAAGCATACTGAACTGGATAAATCTTACGAAAAATGAGGTTGAAGTGAAGATGTCACTATTTCTTCATGAATTGGTGAACAAGCATGAGCTGCACATAAGAAACATTTTTGTTGGAATAAATAATGTCGGATTGGAACATTAGTATGAAATAGAAAGGATAAAGATGTATTATGAATGTATACAATCTTGCTGAAGATGAAGGTTGGTTAGAGGGATTGTCCAGCTGAGATTAACTTGCTGTTGCAGTTCACAAAAATTAATAACATCAAAAAATAAATTCCCAGTATGTCGAAGCAATAGTATGTGATGTTCCTTAGCAATATTCTGTTCACAGTATTCATCCCATCCTGCTCCAAACAAGTCATCATTTACTGTAATATTCCATTGTTCTATTCCATGCATGAAGATAATTCTATGATGGCCATGTTGAGATAGTAACGATTTGAAAAGAGGAGGCAAAACCTGCATATGATATTAACATGACATGGTTTTTAAATGAAATCTAAAGAAGGGAAAAATTTGGAAACATAGTGGTATTGAACAAAAAGGAATGTACTTGGCCTCTATTTTTGCATCTGATGAGAAAGCAACATCTTTGTGAATTAGTGCTTGCCATCTTGAAGAAAAGTAAGGTATGGATTTGTTCTAGTTGGTAGTAAGGTTTAAAATTGAAATGAAAGAAGAGAGTTTAGAAATAAAAAAAGATTCTGAATCTGAAGGGGTTATGAATGTATGGTAAGAATAGAGTTGTGAAGTTCAGGATAGAAAAGATAGGTATATATAAAAAATGAAGAAACTTAAAAGAAATTTTCTTTTAACGTAATGAATGCATAAGGACAGGAATCATTAATGAAGATGGTTGAATATGTCAGCTTATAATTTAATTGATACACAGTTACAGTTTGACAGAAAATAATGGTAAGAGTAAATTGAGTTGGTGCATATTGTCAGAATAATAAAAATGAGATAAGGTTGTGGTAAATAAGAATGAGCATGTGGTTTACTTTGTGAACCTGTATTTTTATACGTGTAAGAAAGATAAATTGAAGAAGAAAGATAAATGGAAACAATTTTGATAACATAAAACATTTAGCTTGACAAATAAAGGATTTTGTGTCGATAACAAGAGATCATTATGTAATCCTGAAATAAGCAAGAGTATAGTTAAATAGCAGTCATTCTATGATTTCTGGGAATGATAAGTTGTTGAACAAAAGACAGCAGCAATACTATGATTTCTTAAAATCATAAATCACTCAACAAAAAGCATAGAGGAGCAGTTTAGGTCCAAAGTAGCAATCCTAAGTTTCAAAAGAAAATATGGAACATGAGAACTTAGTTCAGTTTTGGACAACAAGAGATCATTATGTAATCCTGAAACAAGAAAGAGCATAGTTAAGTAGCAGTCATTCTATGATTTATGGGAATCATAAGTTGCTGAACAAAAGACAGCAGCAATACTATGATTTCTTAAAATCATAAATCACTGAACAAAAAGCATAGAGGAGCAGTTTAGGTCCAAAGTAGCAATCATAAGTTTCAAAAGAAACTGTGGAACATGAAAACTTAGTTCAGTTTTGGCTTCTTGCTGCGGCTAGTCCCTTCAAGTTGAGAGGTATTCTTTTCTGGTTCTTTAGCCTGATCAAACTTTTGATTCAATGAAAGACGAACCTTTGAAGTTGGATTGTTTTCTTCAATAGTTACAGTGCCTGGAGAACCATGACATTAATTTAGAGTAAGAAAAAAAATTTATTTATGTGCAATAAGTACATTCATATACCTGAAGTTGTGATCTGTGAAGGGTCATCCTGATCATGAACTGATAGAAAGGGAACGATTGATTCATTGACAGAGGAAACTTGAGTAGCAGCATCGACAATCTCAGAATAATAAATGATTGTATATCGCTGCTTTGTATCTGCAACTTGAGTTTGTACTGGCTTAATGTGTGCCAAGAACCACTTTGATTTAAGTTTTTTGTGGACAGTTTCAAGTGGAAGTTCAATGTTCTGTGAATCAGAAAGCATTTAAAAAAAGTTTTTAGAAAACAGAGAATATGGTTCCAGTTTATGATTTAGTATAAACGAATAATGTAGCATTGTAATAACAATTGTCTTCTTAATAATTTGCTGGCAGTTGAACATGGACCTGCTTAAAGTGGGCTAATTACTCAGAATATGGTTGAAAAAAAGAAAATTCGGACATCTATTGCTCTGACATTAGTCTGGTGCAAATCTATGGGTGCTGGGCTTGTCAGTCAAATTTTTTTTTTCAGCTCTGACATCCCTGCAGCGGAATTTTTTTTTTTGTTTTTTTATAAAGTTGTCGGCTGCCGGGCTGACAAGGCCCGGTAGCTGACAACTTCTGCAAAAAGCTGGCTGTCGGGCTGAGAGAGCCTGGCAGCCAGTTCAATTTTTTTTTAAAAAAGTGTCAGTCAAACATTCCGACTCTAATCAAGATAGAAGCATTTAAGCAATGGGGGTTAAAGAAGAATGCATTTAAGCAGAAGCAGAAGCAATAGGTTACGTCTACGGTGGAAAGTTCATTTCGGGATAATTATGATAGACATTGTATATGACTATTTTGTTTTTATATTGCATAATAAATTTATATTTATAAATTTATATTGTACATTAAAAATTACATAACAATTTTAACAAATAATTTTTCAACAATTTGAGAATTGCATCTTATTGTAAAATGAATGAGATTTTTTGTTTAAAATGGCCTTTGTTTAGTTTAACATCTTATAGAAGTAATTATTGATTTAACAAAACTGTTTTCGTCTATTTCTGCTATTCGAATTTTGAAATGTCATTTAATTAACTTAAAAGACTGTCGGATTTAGTACGTCAAGCGACATAAGTTTTTAATAAAAAAAGGTGAAATTGTTGTATTGGAAAATGAGTGAAATTTTCAACATTATTTAGTGAATTTTGCACATGTCAAATATTGTGGTAGATTTTATTTTTTAATTGAGTTTCATATTTCAAATAATTGAGGTGTAAATATAAAAGAAAGGGTTGGGATATCAAATATGATTAAGATAAAGGAACATGTGCAATTTTGGTCCCCCCAACGTTTGGTCTATCAGTTAAACTAATCCGTGATATTTTGACCTAAATAATTATGATAGCAAATTTTTTATTTTAGCCAAATTTAGGACAACTAATACAAAACTATAATATATAACGGTCAAAACAAGTCAGAATTAGTCAAAAGTTTTACTTCGTATTTTTTGGTCCCTTATGTTTTAAATAATTATATTTCAAATGACATAAAATGTGAATTAGATTGAATCCATAAAAAATGTGGTCTAATTCTCATTAAAATCCTTAAAGTAATCCACATTGTCAAGACATATTAGCCTAAATAGCATCTTTTCGTTATATTAATTATCAACAAATGATAACACATACATCATATATAAAAGAAAATTTAGTGAAAAAAAGAAAATTTTAATTGGAGTATATAGTAACTTTAGTTGTAAATAGTATTAGGATATGAGTTTCAATCGGTTATGATCAGGTATTATGATTATAATAACAAATAAAGGTGATTACCAATATAAAGAACTCACATGAATTTTTAAAAAATTTCTTGCCATTTCTTCTTGTTTTTCATTCATATGAAGTCAAATATTTCAATAATATAATTTATTGTATTTATATTTATGTTCATCTTAAATTGATTATTTTATTGAATAATTTAAATAATTATAAAATCTTTATTTCAATTGAAACTTGATAGACAACTAGTTGAAATGCCAAAAAAAGAAAAAATAAATTATTATTCGTTCGACTCAATGACATATAGTTACTTATATTATAATAGAATATTTAATTAACTATTTTAATTTACCAAATATAAGTATTGGACATTAGATGATGAATAAATTTTTAAGAGGGCTTTTATTATGATTTTAAAATATATAACATTTTTTATCCATGCATAATCCGCTTTCTCCAGTGCCCCAATATACTTCTTTGTGCGTCTCCACATATTACAGTTGACCTCCTTGCATTGCTTCTTCTTATTATGCGCAGTAAAATGAACTTTCCACTATAGACAGGCTAGTTGCTTAGAATATGGATGAAAAAAAGATTAATCGAACTTTCCACTTTCCAGTACTCGAATATACAAGATTAATTGCATCTCCACATGGTAGCGTTGGCCTTCTTGCATCTTCACATGGTAGAGTTGGCTTCCTTGCATTATGCGCAGAAAAGTGAAGTCTCCACACGGAATGCTAAACGAGACGCTAAAGCAAGCCTAAATTCAAGCAGCCTTTTTTTTTGTCCAAATTCTCTGGTTTTGGAAACTTCAAATTCAACGTTGGGACTTTTTTTTTCTTCAAAAAGTGGACTGGTTGCCGAGCACTCTCAGCCCGGCAGCTAGCTTTGTGCAGAAGTTGTCGGCTACCGGGCCTTGCAGCCCGGCAGCCGACAATTTTATTTTAAAAAAAAAGTTTTTTCCGCTGCCGGGCTGTCAGCAGCGTCAGAAGGTTTGACTGGCACCCATAGATTCGTACCGTGGGTCTGTCAGAGCCATGGATGTCCGATTAATCTTTTTTTCGTCCATATTCTAAGCAATTAGCCCTTAAAGTGTTCCATTATTTCAAGAGCATTGAACGTTAGTAGTTGTTCAGCTTGTTCTCCAAAGATAGAAGCTGTGATGACTCCAGTATGATCTCGTAAATCCATATCAAAGCGACACCTAGAAAAATGTTTGCAAATAAAAGCTTAGCATGTGTAAAAAATGATGATGATAGTAAACTTTATAGCTTTTCTACAAAATGTGATGACTCCAGTATGATCTCGTAAATCCATATCAAAGCGACACCTAGAAAAATGTTTGCAAATAAAAGCTTAGCATGTGTAAAAAATGATGATGATAGTAAACTTTATAGCTTTTCTACAAAAAAAAAAAGGTTTCAGTGAAGGACCTTGGCTCAGCAGGATGTTTTTCTTTACAAGTATTACAGCTAAAAATGACTCCATGTGCTGCTGCAGTACCTCGATAACATTTTTTGCAGCTCATATACCAGTATTTCTGAAATATCTGTTGGAAAGTGAACTTTGACCCATGTACTCTCAAAATCAAAAGTAAAAAGTATGAATATATTGTTTGATAACTAAACATACTGTGAAATAAGCTATTAGCGAAGATGTTTATACCTTGTGGGAAGGATTAACATTGCAAATTAAGATGGATTTTTGGTCTGGTTTCAATGAAATTTCTGGGTTGTATCTAGTATAACTTTTCTATTCCAGAATAACTGTCAACTGCTTGCTATTTCTCAATGCCCTATAATAAAATAAGGTTAAAGATGTAAAGAACGAATTATATAGCATCAATCATGAACTGCTGAGAATGATAATGAGGGGGAAGAAATAAATCAAAACCAATTCTTTAGTTCCCTTGCTTCTTGAACAGGAGGATCAACGAGGATTGCAGAATCAAACCATATGGACAGAGAAACACCTACAGAGAATATTTATTCATTTAGGACCATTTGTTAGAGAGAGTTATATATAAATGTATCAGATGATGGTTAGGCATTGAATTCTAAGTTCCCATTGTAGTTGTTGACTTTTATCCTTCGAGCAATAATAACAGGATAGTTGTTCATGGCAGAAATTATCTGTTCGCCTTTTTTTTTTTGATGAAATCATCCCACATAGAAAGTACAACAGTCTGCGATC